TGCCAAAATTTTATATAAAATTTGAAATCTATTTGGGGGGAAAAGCAAAATTAATAAAAAAAAAAAAATTTAAAATTTAACCGGAAAAAAAATAAAAAAAAAAAAAAAAAAAAAAAAAAAAAGTAGCAAGTAACTTTCACCAGATTTTTGAGTATTATTTACTTGAGTATCCTTCATACACTGACTGCATTCACAAGTTACACAGTGATAGAGAAATTTCTTGCAGAAAAACATTGCTCATTCAGATATGGTAAGATCTCCACAGATCTACTCTGCTACAACTCTGTGCACGCAGACAGCCTTGTTTCTCTTAGAAGTCATTTAATCATTCCGCTTTAGATAAGCCAGAAATGAGCCCTCTGCATCTCAAAAGATTCCATGTTTGGCCACGAGGAGACTCCATGCTCCTGCATTCTTCTGAAATAGCAAGAGTACATTTCCTGCAATCTGGGCAAAGAGAATGGGCCCACGTAGAGTTTTCAAGTGCTTTTCTAACAGTGCTTTTTGTTTTTCCTTGCAAATTTTGACTATTAACAGAAGATTCTTAAAGACCTTGCAAAATGAAAACCCACGCCCTGTCTCCTCTGTTTTCAATTGAAATGGAATGAATTGTTCTAATTCTGGCACTGAAATTAAAACATCCTAAATTACAGCAATTTGTTTCTCTTTGTGAGTCATTATATACTCTGAGACTGCACATGACTCAGGCCATCAATAAGAATTCAATCCTGCAGGAGTCAACAGACCAAAGCTCTCAGCTAACTCTGCAGAGCAAACTGCATGCTCCCCAGCTCCAAACACAGCATGGTTCTCCGGTTATGTGATGGGGAAAAGGCACAGTTGCTACAAGAAAACATTTTCCACTACTAAGCCCTCCATGCTGATAGCTTGAATAGCTTCTGGTTGCCCAGGACATCTGCCAGACTGCAATCTGCTGCAGCGAGAAGGCAGCCCTAAGGGATAGTGTAATTCTTGGCACATCTGCCTCCTGGGAAATAGCACTGGGTCCCTGCTCCCCTTCCTCTGACTTGGGGCTGTGATTTCAGCCACTCCAGGCTGAGCTCCAGCTGTTCGTTTATTTCACTCTGCTGCTGTGACTTTTAACCATTTCTTACACTTTTACACTTATCCACATCCTGGTGGGGAGCAGAGAAAGGAATGACGATGACAGAAATACATCCCTGTTGTGGCTACCTGGGGCACCCTGGGGCCGCTTGGGGTAAAATGTAAAGGTTTAAATGGGAGAGCAATGAAGAAAATCCTATCACTACTGCAGAGAGTTTTTTTTAAATGAGAAATACATTAGTATATTGAGAAGAAAATTACCTGTAAGATAATCAAGGCATTCCAACAATTTCTTCTCCCTGGTAAAATCAAGTGCGAAAGTATCAAAAGTATCATTGAGATTAATTTCAGGAATTAGAACCTGGGAAGATGCAGTTGCCATGGAAACCCTGTAATGAAAAGAAAAGACCTTTTAGCACATCCAAAGACACAATAGCTTCTATAACAAAGTAGATCTAATCATCACGATCACTATGAATTCTCCAAAAGCTTGACAAATATTTTACAAGTATTTTATTTATACCGGCTGTCAGGAGTTTCTCCTGCCACTTTTACTTTTGGAAGAAAAGTCTCCAGGAAACATCTCTTGGTACTTAGCTTTTGTCTAATGTGCAGCATTAGATAAGTTTTTAATAAAATACAGACTGAGCAACAACATACTTATAACTGTTCCTGTCAGTCACCTCTGAATCAAAGTAGCACTAGCACAATTTTTATCTACGTTCTAAGCAATTCTGACATATGCTGCATCTCTTCCAACCCCCTTTTTTCCTAGGCAGTTTCTTACTACAGGCATTCCTTCACAGTGCTGTCTCAAGGGCTTGCTGCAGATCACCACACCTCCTCAGCTGTTTAGCAGCAGACTGCTGTTAAATTCAAAAAGCACAGGGGAAGATAAAACCAATAGATGTTAGCACAGTTTATTTTGAAAAGCTTTTCTCTGCAAAGCATGTGTGCATACTTCCTTCAAACTAAAGGGTTTCCTTGCCTACCTCATTTCAGGAGCTACATCCACTTTTTGTTTGTCCACCAGCAAGAACGTTAAAAAATGAACTTTCAGAAGAAAGCTGCCAACAGGATCTATTTTTTGGATCCTCCAACTTGCCATCTTAAAACATTTGTTACTGCATAGCTGGATACTGGAAACGCATACAGAAAACTCAGGAGATAATTCTGCAAGGTTATTAAACTTTGTGTTACACAACAGAAAATTGTTATGGTTTGGAAGTGAACACAAAACCATGAGCACAATATATGTCCCACATCTGTCAGTCACAAGGTGTCAGGTCAAAACGTTTTGATCTCTTCAATTAACACTGTTGCAAATTGGAGCATTTCACTGTAGATGAGACTGAAGTAGTTCACCTGCAGTTGCAGTTATGCTGTTGTGCTTTTAGATCTAGCAGAGAAACAAGACACATGCTTCTTGTAGGGCCATACATTTCTTGTAGGGCAGACTCAGCCTGACTCACACCTCCAAAAAATCAGCAATAACCTTACTAAGAAACCAGAAAGGAGGTATGTAATGTGAGAAGTTTCTCTGAAGAAGACCTTATCATCAAGCTCTTTTGGGACAATAAAGAGAATGCACAGTGATTAAGCGTGTTAAAGTCAATTTTTGATGGTTCACCATTTCAAAGATCATTTTAGATTCAGAGAAATGAATTTTTTCTTGTACTTTCTGCTTGTTTCATCTGACACTGTACTTGGTTGGAGAGGGGTTTTCTAGGATAAATCCAGTTCACCCATTATAAATAACCCAGTACATAAGTCACTGTAGTGTGTATGATGCCTTTGCTATACATAGTTACCTACTGTGCTTACAAAAGAGAATATTATACTACAATTACTTTGAAATATATGAAGAAATGTAATGAGCATGGTTTCAGAAGACTGCTTCAGCTCTAGGAGTTCAGGACTCCAGTGAGAGTAGTCTGAGTGCAAATAAAACGTTGCTCACCACATATGAACTAGGAAACTTACTTGGGAAAAATAATTTTTTTTTTTTTTTTAAACTCTTTTTCTATTTGTAATTTGTCTGCAAGCACCTACTGGTTTTCCCCGCGTTCTTATTCATTGCTTTAATGATTTTTTGTTTTGCAAGACGTTAACAGCCATCTCATTACAGATAAACAATCTGTGATAGCCAAGAACTAGATTTGATTGGACACATATGTCAGCTGATCTCATTTCTGTTCTCTAAGCATCACTCCTGTGACTCCTGTATAATCAGTAGATATTAAAATGTTATAATCACAAGAGAGTTAGGCAAAATAAACTAGGACAACAAGGAGAATAAATGGAAGGCTTACCTACAGAAAGCACCAGAAGAAGGGATCTCCAAAAGAGACCCTTCCCCGCTGGTAGCCAGCTCTTAAATAGGTCTAGGAGGGGTGCAGCCAGGCTCCACCCCTTCCAGCAGCACAGGTGAATTGCCTTCACCTGTGCTCCTCTGGCTTACTCATGGCTCACCTCAGGTGATCAATCAGAGGTTCAGGCCGTGACTCAGCAGTTCCCATACAGACTCTATTTATGATGCAAGTGTTCATTTCAACAAGTTCAAAATGGAGCTTTTCTGAATGTCCTCTGGTAGTCTGTTAGAAAGTTTTGTATCTCCCTACTGCTTATTCCACTGAATACTGAATAAAGGCCCTACTCTCTCCTTTGGCATTTTCCTCATAGCACTCGTGTATATTCTACAGTAGTTTTTTTTTCAGCTTCACCCGGGAAAAATCAGTAGCACAATATATCATAGTGATAGAACACAAAATAGGATCCAAGTCTGATAGATCAAATTGAATCCACTGTCTTGCCTTGCCCTTCTCAGCAAAGTTTCTATTCTATGAACTTGTTATGGGAAACCCAGTGTTTCTGGTTTGTATATAAATCGATTAAAACAGCTTTGGTGAAAATAGATATTCTAGGAATCTGCATACAGTGCTCTAGAGTAAGTGACTGGCTTAAAAGCAAGGAATGTCATGATGTGAACCAGGTCAAAATTGGCTGGACATTGTGAAGGTACAATGTGAACTCAAGATATTTTTTTAAAAAAAAAGCAAAATTAAAAAGCTGAATGAATTAAGATGCTTCATATTGTTGTCTTAATCATTGTCACAGGTACATGCTCCTTCTTTTTGTTTCTCTTGCTAATGGCTAAACAGCAGATAATTCCAAGTGAATTTCATCAGAAATCACTGTTGACATTCAGTGGGAATGTTTTAGCCTTCACAGCATTTGCCCTGAAACTAGACTGAATTTTTTGACAGGACAGGTTCCTGAAAACACTAATTCCCTTGTCTTCGATATATCTGAAAAAGAGCAAGGATGCTAGAAGTAGCAGAAATTCTCTGCACCTAGGAAACCAGAACAGTAGCCTCCATAACTTCCAGACATTCAAGCTGTTGAACCCTTAAATATTTGAGTGGGCTACCTGAGATGTACATCACATGTTCTCAAAGCTACACAGTTTCATAGAATCAGAAAATAATGTCCTGCATTGGAAAGGACCCATAAGGGTCATCAGGCCCAATTCCTAGCTTTGTTACTTTGCTCCTTGCTGTTTTGTAAGACCATGTCAAATTTCTCCTAAGGGAACACACTTGCTCCCATATTTCTTTCTGAATCTATGAACTTTTCTAACTGTTCTAATACTTATTTCACTCCCTTTCTTGACTACTTCTCTTTTCAAAGGGATGTTTTGATTTAGCATTACAGCAAGGTCTTTCTTCATCTGGTACAACACAAAGTGGCGTTACTGGGGAATGCAGCAACTCATCCTTCCTTCTTTGACCACATTATCACAGTGGTGGGACAAAGCAACACAGCCACCTAACTGCCTGAAATTGAGGTTCTCCTGTTTATTGAGAGGAACATATTTACCTTTCGGTGATGTTTTTAGCAGTTTGTAGGAAGCGAGCGTGATCGTTCTCCTTCAGCGACTGCTCAGCCTGAGAGATGAGGGACGTCGAGCGCTCAATGCACTGTTTGCAGTTTGCAATCTGCTGAGCCAGTTTTCTCAACCTCACCACCTTGTGCGGAAACATAAGAAAGCAGTCACTTCTCTAAGGTCACAAATCACTACTACATTTGCACTTCTGAGGCAGAAGTGACATGGAAAGGGGGACCCAAGACAAATGGCCTCCCTGACAAGAGCTTCTTTCACACACAGTTTGATGGTGACTGCTTTCCACTAGCCACAGAACATTTTAAATCAGGGGACAGGCACAGCCTTCATGCCTCAAAATTTTCCACGTGGAAAACAACAGAGGAGAGCCAAAACAAGCACAGCTGGCTTTCCTTCCAACAGAAGAAACGTCATTTCCTGGTACTTTCTGCTTATATGATAACTAAAGGGTATTTAGATAACCATTTTCCTGAAATGAAGAGATCAGTCTCAACGGCAGCTTACAGATGGCATACTTTTTTCCGTGTTACTGAGGTAAATTTCATAAAAAAATCATCCGAAAATAAAATTTGAGAAAAAAGGATCGTTAATTTCTACCAACAATACGTCTGCCATTTTCATTACAAGCTCTTAGTCAAACAAGGTGGTTTTTGGGGGGTATTTTTAACAGGACAAAAGCACAGTAGTACTGAAGAGATTATTATTATTACTGAAAACATATGTGCTGGAGATAAACACAGTAGATGTGACTGTAATCACTAGCTGAAAGGTTAGGGAGGGGCACAGTCAATTCCCCATTTAAAGACAATGTTGGCTAACAAAATTAATAGTTCCTGAAAGGTCTGGGAGTCCTTCCCGTTGCTATCACACCAGGATTGCTGCTACTTCATAGTTTGAACGGGAGTAAGGAAAAGGAAGGAAATGAAATAATCTGAAGTTTAGAAAGGCATTAGGACTCAGTTACCAGAAAAAAATGAGGAAACTAATAAGTATGTGCATTAGCAAAAAAAGTGCAAACTTATAATCATGACAGAGTTCTAAATCTTGGGAATTATGGCATAAACTTTGAAGCTGTTGAATGTAATTTCAGATATAATTGTGACAGGAGTTATGACTTTCTAAGCAGAGATGAATGTATCTTAGTGCTCCTACATGACAATTAAAATCTGCTGGAAAAAAACATCTTTTGGAAAACTTTCAAAAAGAAATCACTGTCTAAACAATTTGTGTTCTGTAACATTGGTATTTCTTTTAAGGGTAGAAGAAATAAAGATAAAAATGCAGGAAAAGCACACAGATTTTGAGATTGCCACTGATCTGATCAGGCTTTCTCCTCACAGTTCAAAGTGTTCAGGCACCCAATGCCTTGGAAACCCTTCCCTGAGTTCCCTCCAGTTTGTTCCAATGTCTTTCTGTGTTGGGACTCCAAACCTGGATACACTAACTAGATGGGGCTATTAAAGTGCTGAGCAAGGCAGAGAATCTCTTCCACTGATTTATGATTTACTGGTTGCACTTTGTTGATATGGCTGGTGTTGGTGGTTTTATTACTGTTGACTTATGTTTAGAGTGTTACACATCTAGATGTACAGTTACACTGAAGAAGACTCAATAATTGAAGTACTTTCACAATTACTTATCTGAATAAGGGAACAGTATTTAGAGCTCAGCTTTTCATAAATACACTGGGAGGTGGAGATAGATATCGGGAATGGGAATGGTTCAACTGATTGTTCCAAGGATAAGAAAATACTTTTTCTAATTGTGCATTTAAGCAGAGATCACAATTTGGCTACACCAGTCTAACCAGAGAAAGGTACACTGCAGTAATTGCAGAGAAAGTACACTGCAGTAATTGGTCACCTCTTCATTTAAGTATTAATAAAAAAAAAAAAAAAGAATGCATGAACTGATACAAATGTTACCTTGTGAACTTTTAGCATTTAGAGGACATGCCATGAGTTTCAAGGTCTACATATAAAAAATTTTTTTGTTGTTTAATTGATTTTTCTTTAAAACTTAAAAAGACAACTGGTCATAAACATCTAAAGGAAGAGTGTCCCCTCCCTCTGTCCATAGTGGCAGGAATGACCTCTGCACTAAAATTATCTTCTCTATTTAAGTGTTCTTCCTGCTAAGCACTCAGTCAGGTTTTATAGGTTTTAGGTGATAAGTGAGATTAGCGAAGGAGCTGCACTGCATTGTAAGACTGGTATGTCTGAATGTGCAGCCCTGCAGTCTTAGCTGGAACTATATTTGAGTATTTCCATCGTTGTAGCCTTCACTATCATTTCCAAGAAAAATCTGCCATTCTTTCCCTTCCAGAAAGACTACAGAGAGAAGTCACTGCTTGCTTTAAAAGAAGGTACCTGGAACTGAATTTCTGTGGTTTTTCAGATTTTCTGGCCATTAGAGAGCTCCCTGGACACGTAATCCTTAGCAAAGTTTCATGACTGTTAAGGTATTTACTCAGAATAAGTAATTAATAAGAATAAGTAATTACTCAGAAAAGACTAGCCTGATTCTCACGTTAAGAGCAGATTAAGAACTAATCTTAATTGTCCATCTAGCTCAGCATCTCGTTTAAATAGGCCAGTAGTGGAGGCACTGTCTAGGACCGTCTAGGAAATAACACATTCTCAGAGAACTGACTCAGCCAGCAGCAATTTGTGGCTCATGGATGTCCTGAGCCTGAAGTGGCATTGCAGCATTTAATTTTGCAGTTTTGTTATTGTTATTGCTGTTTTTGTTCTCTGACTTTTCTTCAGTTTGCTTTTCTTTCATGAGTTAGTCCATAAGACTCTTGACTCCATGAATCTTTCACCATCTACAGCATTCTGAGGAAACACATTCCAGACCTAAACTGGTCTTCTATTGGTACCACTTTTTGATTAAACAAAGTAGAACAAGGAATGGGGTTATATTCTGATATCAGCAATATTCACATACATTTGGACATCAGAATACATGTTCACAAGCAATCAATTTTTAAAAAGTAACTAATGTAGCATAAATCCAAAATAAGGGAAAGACTTCTACTTCATTGAATGCACAGCTGGTCTCAATACATAGGGGAACACAGTTGAAACAATAATTCAAAAGGCCATCATTTCCATGTAGTAGGGAATTATATTTTGTTAACAGCATGGGGAAATTCAGGTTCTGTCACACAATGTAGAGGACCCACAGTTTCAAACATGTTTAAGTCAGCCCTTGCCTACAGGCTTTTCATTTCAAGTTAATTGGAATAGCTTGACAGCTGAATGAACCATTTAACCTGCTCTTGACTTTGTTCCTTTCCTGAGTCTTTCCCACACAAGAAGAGTTTATATTTGACTTGGTTATTTTAGCAGTTAAAGAGTAAACACCATGTACCAAGCAAATAAGAATGTTAATTCGTCTCTAATATGGTTCTGAGTTAACAGGTAGCTAGCTCAATGTGTTGAAACTTGAATATCAGAGATTCTATTGCTCAGTATGTTTGCCATGAATAATCATCATAACTCAGTAATTAGAAATGCGTAGCAAATACTGTGGCACTTTGTGAAAGTGAAAATTTTGGAGATAGGCTGTTAGGCATATAGCAGAGGGAAGGAAGCATTTTATTATTATTTACCGACAGTGATATCATTTCAATGTTTATCCTTAAAAATTACAATTGTGTGTAGAAAGAGAAATGCTAAATAAAGTGTTTAAGTCTGACATCCTAACCTTAGCTGATTTCTTTCCTTTTTACATAAAAAAATAATGGCCCAGGACTACAGAGGGAGACTTACGAATTTTTGAGTACCTGAAGTCAAAAAGCTGTAAGCATAAAGAAGTAATGTTGTTTCCGTGATATAAAGAAGAAAAGCTGTTACCTTTCCTTCCTTGATTTTGGTTCCAATTATTTGTCGTCTCTGTTGTATTATTTCAATAAGCTGGTCACATTCTTCCATCAGCTTGGTTTCTTGGCGAGATGCGTTCACCTACAAAGTAAACCATGTTGATCTTATTTCTAATTCAAGTGAGAAAAGCCTGTTCCTCTGATGACAGAGTGATGTCCTTTATGGCCGACAGTTGTTAGACATGAAAGCTCTTCAGGAGGTGGAAAACAAATCACAGACTGAAGAATTAAATAGGGCTGCATGAATATTCATGCACGTAAGAGTACAAGTACTGGATGACACGTACCTCTAGTACAGTATCCCGCCTCCATTAGCTGCTAATGCCAGCATCTGCTAGCAACACATCTTAAGAAAGCCAAGCATGTTTGGTGCTTCCCAAGAATACTGCCTCATACTCTCACCAATTTCAGCCCAGAATCATCTTGAACTAGAAACAATTTTTACATCATTATTAATCCCCATAAGCGTTATCTTCTGTGGATCTACTAGATTACTGGTTTATCCACTTGTAGGGCTTATTCTCCACACTGAAGAGTCTGAGATGATTCAGTTTTTCTTCGCACAAAAGCCATTTCATACTTTCAACCATTCTTGTTTCCTTCTCTGAAACTTTGCCAGGTCTACCATCTACTTTCTGATATGAGAAACAGAACTATACTATATGCTCAAAGTGCAAACTATGGAGTTATACAGTGACAATGTATGTTCACTACTTTGGCTTCCTTGATTCCTAATGTTTGATTTGCTGAATTTAGCATTTGAAAACATAATAATTACTTTCAGCGTCCATGTAGTCTGTGAAAGATTCAAGTAACCAGAGATCCAAGTGACATTACTTAGTCATGTGTATGGAATGTCTTCTTTATCATTGCTAATTTGATGATAAATCAGAATATAATAACTATGCTGATGCAGACATAATATGAGCTGCTGAAACTGCTGTTAGCACCTAAAAAAGCAACAAAGAATACTAGTTTTCTGTGGAAAATGTTGACTTTCTGCCAAAAAATAAGCAAACTTGAAATAGAAAAGTTTTGTTTTTCAGATGAAAATGCTTTGTTTCTGAATGAGACTGATTTCTTTCAATGGAAAGTTAACATTTTGTATGACAAGCAAAATGTACCTCCCCACCAGCAGTAGTACATATAGCTTAAATAAGCAGCTTAAGGAGAAATAAAAAAGGCGAAAAGTCCTAATCATATCTACAATGGACAAAAAACAGAAGGAGTGATTTCAGAATTGAGCTTCCATACTCACTTTGCAAAGAGGGTAAAGCAGCCCTCTGTCCTGGCCAGTTTCTCCTAGAACTACACTAATCACCTTTTCCATTGCACTAGTAGAGCTAGTGGTGAACCAGAACAGGGAACAGTTCCAGGTGAAAACTAACTCTATTTCCCCTCCTTGGTTACTTTTTTTCAGTCCAATCAACACTTTGATCTGTCTCAGCTTTCTTCTTTTTTCTTCCAACAATGTTTTTAAACATGCATTTACCTGTAAGCATATTACAGAGCTCATTAAGATTAAGCAAATGCCTACGTGTCTAAGTTTGGGCCAGGACCAATTTTATAAATACCTTCTAATATATAACACATTGTGTCCTCTGGGCAAAAAGGGGACTTGTTTACAAAGACCTGCTTTCATTAAGAATTTGGATTATCTTCCTCAAATCTTTATAAAGTTAAAATTTAGTTGCATATTTCATTGGTTTAAATATTAATTATGCTGTCAGGGTTAAAGAGAAAATAAATTCATTTCTGGAAGGGAATAGATGGTACTGAAAATTCTGAAGAATGCTGTGCGTAGCAGGTGAAGAAGTAGAAACCATGCAGTTTTAGGGTGCCTATTTATTTACTCACAACAGCAATGTCTTCCATCTGGCTTCCCATTAGAGTCCATGAGTAGAGACAGACCATGGAACAGCTAACCCAAAGCCTCTGACAGTGCACACATCTCTCCACTGATGGCTTACGGAGAATCCAGAAATAATCAACCAAAATACCAGCCTCACTGAAGAGCCAAAATTGGGTTGTGTAAAAGTTGCCCTTCCAGCTCTACCACTTATCATCATCCCACCAGACCAGCTGCGTAACACCTGGTCAAGCACTGTACTTTGGTGTGAACTTGTGCAGAGCTGTTTTCAACAATGTGTCCAACACAAAATTCTCCCCTGCACCTATTTCACCCATTTTATTAGTGGACTGAAATTCCACCAAGGTGGTGAATCTCAAATGGGCTCAGTCGAGGGGCAACGATCCCATTCACTACACACGGATACAACTCTTTTTACTTCAATAACAAGGTTTGTTCATGCTTGTGCTGACTTTGGCATTGAATTACTGTAACATTTCACAGGATTTTTGAGTAGCTTCCACTCAAAGTGTTACTTCTATCACGACTTATATCATGAGTGTGTTTTGTATGGTAGACCTCAGTAGTATTTGGGGTGACTTTCATGATAGAGAGAGTTCAGAAAGGTTAAGTCAGCAGTGTTTCATTAATGCCCAGATGGTTTAAAAAATAAAGTACTAATTAAATTTTAAATTAAGAAACTCTAAGAAAGAGACTAAGAAAAATGAAATGCTTGGAAGAAAACTTTGAATTTCTTACACACTGTCTGCAGACTTCTCTTTTTCCTTTGAAATCTGGAAAGCGTACTCATTTATAAACTTCATTTGAAGACATTTCCAATGTTATAGTTTGCATGAGCTTATTAAAACTGGAAGGAATATTTCCAAAACTATTTTATATGTCTGAGCCTTACATGAAAAAAGAAAACAACACTTAATTTGGGGGCTTTTCTCAAGCTGAAATACTCCTTAATCAAATTTTCAGCCTAGAAGGCCTCTGAATCAGTAATAACTTCATAGTTGAGCACATGCCTACTTTTAAGTGCAGCATATTACCAATGGCCCTAAAGGGACTACTTGTGAGATTAACACTGAATATTATTTACTTGTGTATTTCTGAGGAGTCATATGTCAGACCAAAGAGCCAGAGGCATGGAACAGGGCTCTGCTGTACAGGTGCTACAGAAATACCAGAATAAGACTTTGCCTTCTGCTTGAGTCCTTTGATGAACAGCAACCTTGACAATAACTTCCAGCTGGGACTGGCCAAGGAATGCAAGTTCTGTCTGATGAAAACATTTGAGGTTTTATGTTTTATATTTTTCCACATTAAAAACAAGCCCTCTTTCCAAAGAGTTCATTAAAAAAAGGACTCAGAGTCTCATTTGAAAAGTCCAGAGGCTGTGTCACTGACTTGGGTTGTGGGAGGCTCTGAATCATGCAGAGAACAGAAATTAATTCTGTGTATCCTCCATCCAGGATGAGTATCAGTTCTTAAATATAGGATTTTCATTGTCCAAGAGTTTATGCTAGACTTGGAGACAACCTTCTGTTGAAAATGTCACTGATATCAACGCACATCTTAGTTAGTTAGTTAGATATCTTAGTTTTGGCATTAGAACACTCCTTAGAAATCCATAACTATCGTAAATCTAAAGTATCTTTTTCTGTTGGTACCATTTTAAAAAACTTCTCTTCCATACAACAAAACTTTTAAAAAACAGACTCGGAGACCTTGTTAGGATTTAGTGAAGTTAGGACATTTTCCACAACAAAATAAACAAGAAAGGACTTAGTTTAGTCCTTTTGCTTTCATGGGTAATTTATTTCTACTTCCCAAACATCTTAATATTTCAAACAGCTAAAAAAAAAACAGTCAGAGATCTTTCCAGGTTTTCCAGACAGATGGATACGGTCTAATGGCCTAAGCCTCAAGGAGTGGGTGTTAAACAATAGAGAAATAGGGTTTCCTCGCTTCTCTGACAGGGAGCTGGAAACCACAAGCCCTCCTGACCCAAAGGGGAAAGCAGGCCAGCTGCTCCCAGATCCACAAGCTGAGAACTGCATTGGAAAGCATTCTACTCTATGTTGAGGCTTCCCAGGCTTTCATCTTCAGAGACCTGAGTTAAATTGCAGCTTAGGTCATACGAAAATGAAAATGGTGGTTTCAAAGTCCCTAGCAGATGTTTGGGAAATCACAAAAACTGTAACGCAGCTAGTGGTTAAAGGTTACAGGAAAGCTTCTACGGTTAATTCAAAGGCAAACAGAGTGCCATAGGACTAAATTCATGCTATGAAAGCTAATATACCAGAATCAAAAGATATTTCAGTATCTCAGCAGACATTTTTTTCCACAGGAGCAAAACTCCCCCTCTGGAATTCCTTATGGGTGAGGCAATTTTATCTGCAAGTGCAAATGCTTAAGTCTGTTGGCAAATAATCCCAAAATGACAAACAAAATAAGAGACTCTAAGAGGTTGCCTGCTTTTTTAAGACTGACTGGGATAAATTAATCAAAACCAGAGTAATTTTTATTCACTGGTCCTCCATTAGTTGTGCAAACTGAAGTAAAGTAGGTTGTAGAAAAATCTCTGGAAAGTGAGGTATGTGTTTAGGTTTTAGCTTTCCTAAAATGGTCTGCGTTTCTCGAAATGCCATAGGCATGGCCATCCAGGTAAGCAAAGAATATCAGCTTTTCTTTGCGAGTGTGAGTTGATGGTTACATAATTACTATTTATGCATAAACAAAAATAAGAGGAAAAAAACCAAATTGCATTAATTCTGCTAAACAACCAATACTTTATTGCCACATATTTCTTTCTTTTTACATTTTAAGCCTGAATTCCTAGCCAGGAATTCTTTCCTTTCATATCCCCATTTGATAACACAGGTTATTTCATTTACTTTTGTAGAGCAAAAACAACTCTTAGACTAAAGCTTTTTCAGATTTTATCAAGTCTAAGAGTAAAACTGATTTCATCTACTGTGACAAACAGTGCCTTTGGAAATATGTGATATTAATCAGCTTGCCATCTGAAGGGATCAACTACAACTGCCGTAGACTAAATTGGTGCAAGAGAAAGGAATGGCCATCTCCCATTTCAAGGTGCCAGAGGCTTTGTTTTTGTTTGCATTCTAAGTTTATCTCTAACCTGGGTCTAGAGGCAGTCTCAGAGCAGGTTAAACAAAGGTCAGCACAAAAGTACAGCAACTGATTCTGGCTACCTAGGAATT